AGAGAGAGAGAGAGAGAGAGAGAGAGAGAGAGAGAGAGAGAGAGAGAGAGAGAGAGAGAGAGAGAGAGAGAGAGAGAGGGGCGGAATTTGCCTCCCGGAGGCAACAAAGCTTCATTTCCTTCAAGATGTGCTCCTGCGACCACATACTGTTCCTGATTAACAGGCCAACCCGAGTGGGGATTTATTACCATTACCATGTTTGTATGGGGCCAGTTATTGGGAAAAAAAAAACAAAAAAAGAATCGCCCATTGAACCAACGCGCCAAGCTCAGTTGCTACACCCCTAACCTGTTGAAATACAGACCTCAGTTCGACCTGGTTCTGGGATAGCGTCAAGAGGGTTGTAGTTTTCCCTCTTTGACTCCCCTCCCGGCCCCTACTTCCCCCATCCCTGATCTCCATCCTACTAGCTGTGTTAAACAACCAGTTCGTTCACACGAGCCTAAGTTGATGAACCTACCTTTAGAGGCTTGCGAGCCTGCAAGTGCGCCTTTTCAAAGTGGCCTTCCGTTTTAGCTACCGGCTCAAGTGCGCCTTTTCAAAGTGGCCTTCCGTTTTAGCTACCAGCTCAGGCTCGAATCGAACAGCTCTTAGGGCCTTGCCACACCACTCTCGAAATGTGCAAAAGACAAAATTGTGGAGGGTGCATCTGGCCATGTTTCTAGCAGAAAGTTCATTCTCATTTTGCGCATTTCGACGGTGGTGTGGCCATGCCCTTCGTACCTCGTATACTGGTACGAGCTGCACTGTGCATCAAGTGAACTGGTGGTTTGATCCCCCCAAATCCCTGAAAGGCAGGAAGAAGAGATGGTCCCTCTGCTCAGAAGAGCTACTCTGTCCTTCAAGACATCCGTTAAAATTGGAACGACATAGAGAAGATTAGGATGGCTGAAAAAAGAAAAAGAAAAAAAAAAAAGAAAAAAAAGCCAATCTGTGGACCATATGGAAGAGGAGATGTGAGCACCCCAAGAATAACAGAAGCAGCTGAAGCTCCCCACCAATGGAACGGAGGCATCCACCAGAAGGCCTCCACTGCGTCGGTTCTCTTACCGCCACGGATTTAACCAGGATATAATTATATCTATAATAACACTGAAAGACTGCGCATGGATTTAACTTTATACGACTGTACGGGCCAGGAGGCCCGGGTGATTAAGCAGAGATTTGAGTTGGCTGGCAAACTGACCGGATAACAGCATTAACCCGCGTGCACCCACCATCCCCTCCTCGACCCCCCAGCACACCCCCTCTTCATGTGGTTCGAGGTTTGCGAGACTGGCAGGTATGTGTGCGGCATGCAGGTCATGCCATGCAAGGCGCCCAGGGCGGGCCAATCCAGGCTGTCCTGTCAAACGAACCGATAAACCACGACAGAAATCAACGCTTTTTAATAAAACTGTTCCTTAAAAAAAGACACAAAGGAAAAAACGTAAGATTGACGGACATGAGAAAACTTACTTGAACAATAATTCCGATGAACAAGTTCGTGAATACAAAATTACCGATGAAGATAAATATGATCGAAAAGACTCTCACACCGTATCCAAATCCATTGGACTCCAAACTATCTGCAAAATTTGTCCAGCCATCTGCCTGCAAACCCGTAATCCATCGCACCAATCAAAAAGTGATAAAGTTAAAAACAGTTGAAAAGTCAGAAGAAGAAAAGAAAAGAAAAAAAATATACACTGTGATACACAGTTTTTTTTTTTTTTTTGGAACAATGCTCCGAGCTATTCGTGGGGAGCAACAAGTGATGGGAACCGGGCCCAGCGTCCCATCTGGACACATACTTGAGAACACATACAGAAGAAAATGATGATAGTGATACACAGTAGATTCAGATCATAGCCCAGGAGATTTTTTACCATTATCATGTTGGTTGCAAACAGCGCAAACAGTGTTTTTTTTTTCAAGGGGGAGGGAGCGGGGGAGGGAGGGGGGTGTCGGTTAGACCACTTCTCGATTCCCAATTGTCATCCTCGCAAAGGGGCACTCGCCAGGTCAAGTTAATTGTCTCTGTATTGTTTCAATTATAATGACAGCCGCAAAAGAGACAATGCTTCCGCCCTTTTTCCGTAACAGTTTTTTTGTTTTTGTTTGGTTGGGGGGTGGGTGGGGGGGGAGCGGGTTGGACCACTTCTCGATTCCCAATTGTCATCCTTGCAAAGGGTCACTCACCAGGTCATGTTGATCTTCTTGTGTCGTTCCAATTATAATGCCAGCCAGAAAAGAGACAACGCTTCCTACCATTTTCCGTAATGTTATGATCCTGGCTATCTTGCAGTGCAACATGTTACGATCCTGGCCAATTTCGAAGTGCAAAATTCACGGGAAAGCACAGTGCCGTCCAATTGCAAAAGAAATGAATGAACTTGAGAGGAGGGAGAGATAAAGAAGAAGAAGAAGATGATGTACACCGGCAAAAGACCAATGATAATCCCCCTCCTTCTCGCCAACCAAGCTCCTCCTCCTTTTCTCCTCCCCTCTTATATTCAAATAATAAACAATAATAATAATGATGAATGGCGGAACCAGAATCAATGTCCGAGTCCCACTTCTGCTGCTTCGCATCACTAGAGGTCCACCATAGACATGGCCTCCATCTTCTTCCTCCTCAACCAGGCCGAGGCTATGGCGGACTACTAAGGGCCTAGCCCTGCTGTGCAAAGGTTCATGCAGCGCAACGCCGCAACCCCCACTGGGGCCTTGCAGATGCAGCGCCTAACAAAGTGATGAAGATGGCGTCCACCATAGCCAGGTAGGTACCACGCCACTCTGCTACCTAGTCCCCTTCTTCCTCCTCCTCCTACCGGTAGAGCTCCACCATAGCCGGGGTGGGAGCTCCTCGCCTTCTTCCGTCTCCCAGCGCTGTAGTCTCCAGCGCTCTCCCTTCCAGCAGCGCCCTGAAGTCCAGTGCTGGCTCAAGCAGCAGGACCTCCAAACTTGCATACCACAAATGAGGCAGCGCAACTTGCTTTGCCTGGAGATATAGAGGCCTACTTGCCTCTTGGACGGTGACTTGTCAGAATAACTTCAGACTTACAGTGCGCTGCTACGAAATGAGCAGCGCTTCACTCCCCAACCCTGAGTAACCACTCGTGACACCCCTGAGCCCCTGAAACATCAAGCGCCACCCAATTACTGCCTCTAGAGGGCAGCGCCACCCTGAAACAGCCCTCTGAGGCCAAGTGCCACTCAGAGGGTGAAGAAGAAGACCAGCGCCTCAGTATCTGATGATGACGAAGTGTCCTGGGTGGAAGTCTGCAGCAGCGCCACCAAATCCTGACAGATGACCTCTGAGGAAGAAGCTGCAGCAATGGCTGCAGCGCCACAACCCTGGAACCCCACTCCGGAGGAGGGTCCAGCAGGGCACCAACTTCTCTCGCCTCCAGCAGACCTCGATAACCCAGACCTCTGACAGCCCCGCATGCTGGCAGAGTACAGCGCAGGCCCCAGCTATGGCCGGCGCTCCGAAGGTCTGGCTATGTCTGTCTCCCACAACGCTGAGCCGTCACCACTTCCGGTTCACGCGTAGCGCAGCAACGATGTACTCGGTACCAACTGCCAAAAACCCTGAACGGATGTGCCCATCCTATCTATAGACTAAACTAGCCTAGACTCGACCTAGACCGGACTGACTGACCGACCGAGACCGTTTCCCTATCGGCCTCTCGGCCTCTACCTTACCCAGCTATAGGCTATAGGACCGTCTATCAGCATAGGCCTTGGCCGTCTATCAGCATAGGCCTTTGAGGCCTGTCTGCCCTAGGGTAGCCCGGGCCTGTTATTCGCAGTTAGGGTAGCAGTAGGAAATTCAATTAGTGTTGGGCCTATACTTTCCCAAATTTGCAGATATGTCCCTCACGAATTTCCTCTACAGGTAGGTCTCTTGGTTAGCCCTCAGCCAAACAAAATTACGAAATCTGTCCTACCTATGGTACAGCCGCGACAGAGAGAGGCTACAGGCGACCAGAAACAGCAAGTCATTGCAGACCTACCCTCCCCGAAGCGAGGACCTCCGAGCGAGGGGCGTAGACGTGCAGAGCGTCGAAGGGATTCTCCCTTCTGTGCTGCCTCATATCTGAGAATAACAGACTTTGCGGTTTTTAGAAGTTCCTTGCGAGTAAACCAGCGATCTTCAGTATGCGGCTGGTATAAGAACTTCACAAGGTACTCCTTATCTGGACCTGTATCTGCCTCATCCTCCACAGATTCCACCTCATATCCCTTGCCAGGAATAAGGGGACCGAACCGAGGAGGCCTATCTGGAAATGCATCAGCTGATGTGAAGGGCAGCAGCTTAGATGCATGAAAGACAGGGTAGGTTTGTAGATGCAGAGGGACATCCATTGTATAGGATGATCCAAATGGATCAGCTCCCACTGTATCTAAGACCTGCCATGGACCCATGTACTGTGGCAACAGCTTAGGCGAAATATCCTCCTCTCGTGACAACTTAGAACTGAGTACCCACACCCAGTCACCTGTGCAAATGGTAGAGGGGCGTCTGTGCCTGTTAGCCTGCTGAATCATAGCCTTTTAGGCTTTGAGCTGGTTGGCACGGGCACACTCAATGTCCACATGATAACGCCTGGTGAACTCTGCAGTTCCAGGTGTCAACGTCGGGGTAGCCTTATTGATGATGTCATCGAGAGGCTGCCGTGGCTCACGACCCCAGTGTAACCGGTAGGGTGTAAAGCGAGTAGAGGAGTGTACATAAGTATTGTATACAAGTTGTGCACGACCCAGATGGGGATCCCAGTCCTGCTGATCTAGACACAGGACGCAGCAACTGAAACAAAATCGGGTTCATCACTTCAGCCTGTCCATTGGCTTCAGGATGACGACTATATGTCATATCCAGTCTCGAATGAAGGTAATCCCTGCAGTAGGATTGCCATTCATTGCTGCAAAAACGAGGATCTCGGTCACTGACTATAGAGGTGGGTGGTCCATGATGTGTGACCCACCTGTTAGCAAATGCCGCCTAGACGGTTGGAATGTGAGCCTCAACTGGTAAGGGGATGAACTCTGCATATTTGGAGAACCGATCCACACACACCATAACCTGACACATACCACGAGGTGTGGTCCTACCCAAGTCAGTAACGTCAATAGACACTGACTGTGCAGGTGCCTCAGGGATGGGTAGTGGTTTGAGTAGGCCAAGGGGAGGTCGTCGTACTACCTTGTTCCTTTGGCATAACTCACAGGTTTCCACATAGTGCAGCATGTCACTCCTCATCTCCTTCCAAAAGAAGCGTTGCGACAGGGCTGCATATGATTTGAGGGCTCCAAAGTGACCACGAGCATCATGACCCTCTGACATCAGGAGTGTTCTCAGCTTGCGGTCCTGGGGAATGCACAGGCGTTCCTCACCTCTGTTGCAAGTATACAGCATGTCTGAAACCAAAGTATATCCTAGTTCAGATGCCGGATCATCATGGACACTATAGGCCCAAAAATCGCATCCTGGGGCAGCAACCGGGCAATGGTCTGACGAGTCTTATCTCCAAATGAGTGAGTGAAGGAGATCAAGAAGAGAGCGTCATGCCTATGAGAAAGGGCATCAGCCCTTCTTGTGTTTCAGTTCAAAGTCAAACACGTCAATGAACTGAATATACCGAGCAAGCTTGTCATTCAGTTCTCCCTGGGACTTCATCCACTGTAGGGTGGAGTGATCTAAGAAGATCTTGAAGTGCCTGCCCAGGAGGAAGTGTTTCCAATGTTTGAGGGTTGACACAAGAGCATAAAACTCTTTCTCATAGGTAGAGTCTTGCAGCTTCTTTACTTTGATTTTCTTGCTCATGTATTCAATAGGCTGCAGACCATTCCCATCATCCTGTTGAAGTACCACCCCTACACCATACTGACTCGCGCCAGTGCTAAGCATAAAAGGCAAGGTAGGGTCCGGTAACTTCAAAACAAGGGCACGACTCAAGGCCTCCTTGAGACGTGTGAAAGCCTCTTGGCACTCTGATGTCCAAAGGAAGGAATTGTCTTTCTTTGTGAGATCAGTCAAGGGAGTTGCGATAGAAGAGAAGTTCTGAATGAACTTCCTATAATACGAAGCAAGCCCTAAGAATGATCGAACATCACGAATGTTAGCAGGCCGCGGCCAGTCCTGAACTGCAGCAACTTTCGTTGCTTCAAGAGCCAACCCCTCTCCATAAATGACGTGCCCTAGATAGATCACAGAGGGAACCCCAAAAGAGGATTTCTCCTTGTTGATCTTATACTGATTATCACGTAGGGCCTGAAGGACCAAAGCCAGATGTTGCACATGCTCCTGGGCAGATCGACTGAATACCAAGACGTCATCCAAGTAGACAACTACAAATCTGTCCAAGTAAGGCCTGAGTATGAGATGCATCTCTGTCTGGAAGGTGCCTGGGGCATTGCAAAGACCGAATGGCAAGACCAGGTACTCATAGGTGCCATACCTAGTCTTGAAGGTTGTCTTGTGGACATCGCCTTCTGCCATCTCAATCTGGTGATAACCAGATTTGAGATAGATCTTGCTAAAAATGGTACAACCCTGCACCATATCCAACAGATCATCAATACGAGGAAGAGGCTTTGTGGACTTC